CATTTTCCCCAAGAAGTGCCACAGTGCCTTGGACCAGCAGTGTTGTCATTGCACATCCAGTGGAGCACTGCTGGGCCCTCTGGAACAAAATGCCACCAGGCATTCCATGGGCTCCTTCATCCTGGCAGGCCAGTGCCACCGTGGTCTCCATTGATGGCCACCAGACATTCGGAATGACATCAGCAGCCAATCTCAGCAGGCTCTGTCCTGAAGAACTCAAGGTAGCAGGAGACTGAAGATATTAATGTCTTCTTGGCGACAACAACATTCCAAAGGTTAACCCGGGTGAGAAGAGGATGGACTTGGACTTTAGAGGAGCTCTTCAGCAGCCGAGCAGCTATCAAGCCTAAGAAAGTAGCTCTCACAACATAAAAACAAAATCAAGTGGCAAGGAAACCTGAACGCATCCCAGAGACAGGGATCCTGTGAAAAGGAAGTGAAGGAACCTTTCCCACTGATTTATAGGGTTGTAGGACCAAAGAAATCTCTACCAGTTTGAAGGTAAAATTCAAGAACAGTTCTCATGCTGGACCATCTCGCAGTCTCTGATGAACTACTGGTCTCTGCTTGATAGCCACAGTGGGAGTGAATACACAAAGTAATGCTATAGGAGTGGAGATTCCTTGTATCAGTTAAAGAACAGCTAATGTGTACAGCAGCTTATTACTTTGGAACATTATACTTTATAGTGACTAGTTCCTTTCATCCTCATGAGAAGAGATTTGGGGATACACCATTATGTGTCTCACTGTACAGATGAGCTAACTACTGATCTGCTGTACAGTCTCCTGGGTTTGGACCACATGGATACTCCTAAGGTCCACAAGCTTTTTTAGGTGTTGAGGATGGAGAGCCTAAGGACTTCTACCTCCTTGGACAACTAAAACATTTCCTTAGAAGGAACTGGATTTCAGGTGGTATGGGTCATGAACCTTTCTACCATGAACCATGTGCAAATGGTAAATCAGTAAGAAAAGGGGACAATAATTCAAATCTGGATCGGCTCAAGAGAAAGTATAAATTTTAAAAAATAGTCATTATTTTTAAACGATTTATGATCCATGAAAACTCATCAAAGCCTTTCACTAATTAAAAGAAATCACCCTTCAAGGTCAGAATTCATATTAACATTTCACTCCTACTTAAGAGTAAGAAACATAGAAAGACAAACACGACAAACTGAAAACTCAAAAAGCAAGAACAAACTCTTGAAAGAAAGTTTATGCTTTGTCTAAAATGTTATGATTTTGTTCTGTTGTTTCCAAAATTCTAGATATATTCCTGTTGCTTTATGTGTCTCATTTGTAATTTTTATTCATATTAACATTTATGATCAAATTTCATCTTGATATTGTAAACAGTGTACATGATGATATTTTTGTCAAATGTCAGGAATACTATACTTTGCTAACAATTTTCACCTTAAGTAGCACTTATCCTGACTTTAAGACATTTTTAGATATTATTCTAAAAGAATAAGCAGAAGGAAGCAAAATATTATCCCAATTAGTCCTAGAATAGGCATTATATGAATCTATAATCATTCTTTTTAAGCTTAGGAGGCAGGGTTTTAACCCGTGCACCTTATTTCTTATTAAATGGATTTCTCCCCAGAAGAACGTTTAGCATTTTCTCTTGTCAAAGAACTCTCCAACCTAAAATCTTCCCAGCCCAGCTTTCTATGGAGTTTGTTTGCTTCGCCAGCTCCAAGTAAAGTCCCCTGGTCTGACACAAAGTCTGCTTCCTAAACCCCGTCAAGAATCTATTCCACTTACTAACTTCATGATGTGACTTTGAGGATATCACTTAACTTCTCTGACTTGTCTTCCTTGTGAAAAATTAGGCTCTTGTGTGAGGTGGTCCCCAGAATCTTTTTCGGCAGGAAGATACTGACATCGTAACTTTAAAACTTTCATACCAGTGCCAAATGACAGAAATACAGATTGTCCTAAAATCTACCTGGTATCAGTGATAAAGCAATCTCTCTATCCTTTTCCTTCCTTCCTTCCTTCCTTCCTTCCTTCCTTCCTTCCTTCCTTCCTTCCTTTTCTCCTCTCTTTCTTGCTTCCTCCCACCGTCCTTCGCTCTTTTCCCTTTAGACTGTAAACAGTACCCTCCACTAGGACTTTATCTGATGGGGTAGTCAACATCTGTCTATCTGGTAAGATACCCACCAGCCACATGTGGCACCTGGGCACTTGACATGCGGTTGACGTAAGTGAAGAACTGAGTGTGTGGTTTATTTAAGTTGGAAGAGCCACAGGTAGCAGTTTATGGTTTCAAGAACAGAAGAGTAGCAGAAACATGCTCCGACTTTCCAGGTAGCCAACTATGTACTGTAGGACATCTTTGGAGCTCTGTTTTATCCACCGTACTTGCTTTCCTTGCTACAGATTGAGACAAATCCAACACCACAGGCGTCTACATTTGGTGAGGCATTTTTGTAAAAGATCCTGGCACTATTTTGCACGCTCTTAAATAAAGGGGACGCAAGCAGATAGGAAGTTCTGGTTTGGTTTGGTGCGTGATCTTTCTCTTAGCTTTCCCCCAGCCAAGAGTCGCACATATCCACAGAGGTCTTTAATTACTAAAGCTAGTGGTTGCTTGTTAATTTGTGTTGCTTAAATAACGCTGTTGCTTCTGACAGCCTGGACTTTAAAGTCTGATGTTGGGCCCTATCATTCTGCTGCCCTATCAGGTCAAAAGCCCAAAGGCCTGGCTCAAGGCCCAGCAGAGACGGACCTTGAGCTCTGGACTTGAGCTCCAGGTCAAGTGCCTGGAGCACATTGGGCAGGCGAGGGCTTGTGCACCCTGTATGGGTGGCTTCCTTTAACCGGGCCCCTGTGCTTGTGGAGGTCTCTGGGAGCTCATCCCCAGTTCTCTGAACTCAACCTTCGGGAAGTAAATTCTAGGATCCGCAAAGCAGAGTAGCAGGGCGACTTGAAGAGCGCCTCTTGCTTCCAAAGCCCACCCACTGCCGCTGCGCCCTCTACCAAACCCCATAGTCCTCTTTCAAAAACGAGCTTTCCTCCACGCGGTGGCATCCCACCCTGGAACCAGACACCAGCAGGCACCCCCTCCATGCACAGCTCACCCCGCGCGGCAGCTCCCTGGCCAGTTGAGAGCACGGCCTCTGCGCTGTGGCGCACGCACGTGGCGCGCTCACCCCCGCCTGGCGGCCTCGGGGTTCCAGCAGCGCGCCGGGGACCGCGCCCCCACCCTCAGAGCCATCCACCCAGGAATGAGTGCGGGCTGCAGAGAAAGGAATCGCTAGGCGGTGGGAGCAGGGGAGAAGGGGTGGACCCGCAGTAATTGGGTGGTGTTTGCCTGGGTGCGCCTCCCCAGGACGCCAGGCAGCGCAGATCCCCCTGCACACACATCTCCCGGAGGGATGGGTGCTGCCTGCAATGGTAACTCGGCAGAGTGGCCGCTGAAACCAGAGGCGACCCTTTTCTGGCTGTGGAAGGAGTGTGCGGACTGATTCAGCTCTCTGCTTCCCAAACAAAGAAGTGGGTACCTAGAGGCCAAAGGGGAGTTTTGACCCCACACTTCCCCCCCAGACCCTGGGCAAACTGTCATTAGAGATGAACAGGCATGGGCATAGAAAGGTATCTTTTAAAACAGGTTTAAAAGGAGAAGTGTGAAAATCTATTCCTTGAATTTCAGGTTTCTGTGCTATTTCAAGACACAGCATAGAATCAGGCGTCTAACAAAAATTTAACAATTTTGTGAGTGAAGTCCCATTGAATTTAGCTGCTCCAGTGGACGCTTTTGAATCAGCTATCTCAAGCAGATTACAGATCAAGCCTTATTTGGACATCCTGATAGAGGAAAAGGAAGAAATATGTCATAATATGTAGTGGCGCTTTTAAAAGCCAGAACATATCTCAAAGATTATTTCATGAAGATTGCTTTTCTGCAAGGTGAAAGGCCCTGGGAAATTTGTAGCACGACTCCCACTTAATAACTGGCTGCAAAACCAAGTGGCTGGGAAAAAGGAAATTGGCCAGGTGACTTAGTCCTGGACAGGAGGAAATCAGCTCTGGATGAATCTATTGTGGGCAGGGCAGTGCTTTTCAAGCACTCAGCTAACATCCTTTTAAATAAAACTGGCCAGAATTATTCATTTCTCCTTAACTCTGAAGCAACTTGTTGAAAACAAGCCTAATGGATAACCCAAATAAAGAGGCTTTAGAAAGGCCTCCACTAGGAAGTCCTCCTGCTACTAGGAATGAGAAAATGGATGTTGACCATCAAGGTCTGCTGAGATCTGAGATTGGTCCTCTTTCTGAACTTGTTCCAATCCCAAGCCAAGGAAAGATTCACTTGCATCCTCCAAGCTAATTTAAAGCAGAGATTGGAACCCAAGAACATCTGTTTGTGCTCAGTACAGTTAAACACTGCTTGGAAGGATGAGGTATCATTAAGTATAGCTTTCATAAATGGCACTGAATTCACATCGTGACTCCCAAAGTGTTTAAAGTTGGACTTTAAGCAATACATACATAAAAGGAGCCTTTTCAGCAATTTAAATTATATGGCAAGCATTTCCCAATTTGACCAATTTTGGTGGTGTGACAAGTGAAAGATTGGTCTTTTCCCCTTGTAATGCTTCATCAGATTTAAAGTTAAAGATATGAAAATAAAATTGAGTCTAGGGTCCTTAAGGATGAGAGAAAAGATGTGATTGAACTTTTCCTGGAAATAACAGAATTTTTGCCTATCACGGTTCTCAATCACAAACAGGCCGTGTGCTATATATTCTGCTTGGACTAACACTGCACTTAGAGAAATTCTGAAAGTTAGATACATGGCACTGTTTATTTTTAATGATTGTAAGTATTCTCACAATCATTTTAATTCTTTGAATTCGGTGCTTTGAAATCAATATTAATGTTATTTTGGATTGCAATTTTAGAAATAAATCTACTTACATGCACTTTAATGTCAGCTTTTAAAATACATATATAACCATGGACTTTTTCTTAACACATTTTAAGGTGCCAAAGAATTGTAAACTGTGAAGTAACTCCCATGAAGAGATGAAGTAAAGAATGGAAAGCAAATGACGGAGGCAGTGAAGAAGTGTATGTGGTGAGTGCTCGAATTTATTTTATCATCCACCAAGAAGACATCAGGGAGGTAAAAATGCCACATCCTTTGTCTTTAGGCATTTTAAAGCCTACCCGTGTAAGACAGTGATAAACAGTTAAGTAACCATTATGGGTTTACATTACAAGCAGTGTCAGGCCGGTTGGCAGGCTTGCATCACTGTTCAGGGCCTACCACCTTAGGCTCTCTTACTATTTGGGCATTTCACCCAAGTCATGTAACTGCAAAAAGATTAAAATCTGCTTCATGCTCTAGAATTCGTATCCTACTTTGTTTTTAGATTTTTTTCCCCCTGAACTTTCACGTTCCATTATGTTTGTGTTGAAAGTATTCCGGCTGAAGTATGAATACTATACAACTGAATAATCTTTAGGGATAGATTAATCTATAGCCTTTCTTCATCTCAGGGTGAGTTGCTGTGGCAACCGCCCCAGCTCACTTTACAATAATTTTTAAAGCTCACTTCAAGAGCTACACCCAGCGTGGGCCAGGCTTAAAAGCAGGCAGACCCAGTGCACAGGGCTTTGGTAGACTGCTGCTTTCATGTGGGGAAGTAGCTGAGCCACAGGGCAGAGGGAGATGCTAGGCGACCGAATAGAAACGAGTATTAGCTTTGCCCAGAGCTGCAAGCCTAAGGATCATGTCCTCTGTAACTTCTTGGAACTTTCATTAAACAGATTGCTAAACAGAATTATTTGGAGGAAAAAATAAGTTAATTTGTATTTACATTCAAGATAAAGCACTTAGATAATTATTTTAATGAGAAAAATATTTTGTGATTGCACACTCACCCTGCGCGTGCGCACACACACACACACACACACACACACACACACACCGCACAGCTGGTTTAATAGTCTATCTACGCATGACACCATTTTTTAAAAAAGAAAGTCATCTTTTCTTTAACTGGATAGATTCCTAGCTTTTAATTTGTTGAAAAGGTATAATCATTACTATTTTCTAAGCAAAGAACTGAGACAGAGCTCACTTAATGCATAAGCAAACTGCAATCTGGGAAGGACACATCTCATAGTAAGACACAAATTTTAAATTTCTAACACTTCTAGGACAAGCTCCTCTCTGCAAGAACTGATCCTAGCCAAGAACTGTTAGGTGGAAAAGATCTGGTCATTTTGGTAATAAATAAATAAATAAATAAATAAAGCCCAGAGGTATTTAAAGAATACAAGGCACACTCTGGGTTCACTACTTTGTGGATTACCCATGAATGACTTTAAATCTAGGTGACTTAAATCTAGGTGTGTATTGTATATTTCTACTTAACCTCTTCTGTTCTGCTGCAATTATAAAGGCTTTTAGGAAGAAAACTAACACTAATATTAATTTAGGTCACACATAATTAAGAAGCTAAGTCTGCAAAGGGGAAAATCTTGTATTTTAAAAGACCAACGGTGATGCATTCCAGATCCAACTTATTTTCAAATTATCCACAGTTTTGGGTTGTGCATACTTTTGAATATAGCATGCACTCTCACTGATAATTATGGGTATGTTGTCATGTTTACTATTAAATAATTGTCTGTAATATATAAAAGTAAAACAAGAAGCGTTTCTTTTCAAGGGGATATAAATCTAAAGCTGAAGTGTACTCTGGTAAATAGAAATTCTATTACCCATTAAAATAGAGTATAACTGAAATTTATATGTTAGCTGTGTCTGTTTGGTCCTGTAAAGAAGTCTGTTACAGTTCATTACACTAACTTCAAGCACTATGACAATAATCTCAGATGGTCCTTCAAATGGTTTGCTTTGTCATGACCTTTGTGAACCTTGAAAAAACTTCTATTTATTTCAGTTTTACCATCCCATACAGACATAATGTAGTATTCAAAAACCTATAAGTTTTGAGATTTTTTGTTAAGAAAGTTGTACCTTGAGTGAAAATGTGATATAGTTGCTCTCTGCCATATATTATTAAAATGAACTCCTGGTAGTAACAGACACGCCATATGAAAAACAAACAGGCCAAAAGAATATATAAGGCAGTAATCTACAAGAAATAATTCTATTTCAAATAGTTTTTGCATTGTGAAGGTTTGTCATGGTTGCTTACTATAAAAGCCAGGGATTCTTGTTAGATGTGCTAATAGTCAACAGTGGTAATGAGCCAGAAGCTTGGAGACTGTTTAGATCTAGTTGTGGCTGCCGGTAAAGTGAACCTTCTCCTTTCAGATGAAGCCTTGGGAGGGTGAATCCATGCTAAACTCACCCTTCTGAGAGCAGCTAACATCACATAGCCTGCAGATGAAGCAGGAGACTTTTTGAACCACCTTATCCTCATGCCTGAAAATAGTCGCCTAGAAGCAGCCTAGAAGCAGACTGAAGAACCGAATAGGAAATTCAACTAGTCACCGGGTTAAACACACAGTGCTGAAAGGAATTAAAAGAAAAAAAAAAAAAAAAAAAAAAAAAAAAAAAAAAAAAAAAAAAGAGGGAATATCTTTAATTAGCTCGATACTTCAGTATATTATTATTGTACCCCCTCCCGTGTACATTCAGTGTTTTTGTGTCCCCTATACATTTTCCCTTCTTCCTTTCACAATATTAGCTAAAATTAATTCGGCTTAAACATTTTACACAATCTATCATTCTACTGGCTTGCAATCTTTTTTTTTTTAATGATCATTATACCGGTTGATATGTTTTATCTTTGGCTTTTTTGGGTGTGGTGTAATTGGCCAGGGCAGGGAGGTGCCCAGTCTCTTAGTAACTTTTTCCTTAGTACTGAATATTAACCTATATTTTTGGTAAGGAAAAGAATTCGGCGTGCTTAAACCCTAACCCAAGGGTTCCCATCCTTATCAGTCTCTATTTCTGCTTCCTGTGCCGCTGAAACTCTTCAGGATAAGTGAAGTCATCAGCTATCAGCTCCAGTCGCCTAATGCGTTTGGGAAGTTGGCTTGGTTTACATGTGAAGGACCTGGGTAAAGTCCAGTAAGGTGTGGAAGAGATAGAGTGGGAGGAAGGGGTGGGTGGATCTCCGAGGAAGCCGCCGCCTCGGTAAATATTTCCAAACTGATTAGGAAGTTCACGGCCCGCGATGGAGTCGAGATTTCACCGACTGGTGATTCTATGAGGATTTTTGCAGGACTGACACTCAGAAACCTCTGGGCTCCGGCTGAGCCTCGGGGCCAAAAACGGCGTAGTCAGGGCGCGCCGGGAAAGCGCGCGGGGACCCGAGCCGCGGACATCCGCGCCGTGGCTTGGACGCGTGAGTAGCTGGAGCGCACCGACCCGGCGAGCAGAGAAGTGGCGAGCGCGCATCCGGGGTGGGGGGCGGGGGGAGTCACAGGAGCAACTATTAGGGTCGCGCTCCGATTGGTCAGAGGACAGATCCCGACTTGGGAAGGACTTTCCGCTGCCTGCTCGCAGGTCCCCGGGGAGCGAGGCGGGCGCGCAGCCGCGGGGGCCCCCAGTCCTCTCCGAGCGTCCCCGGGCGGCGGGCTGGCCGCGGAACCCGGAGCCGCCGTCGCCGCTCTCGCTCTCCGTGTTGTCTTCATCTCATGCAATAAAGAATTGTCATTAGGTTTGCGTATGGCATGTGCCATTACCCCACCGTAAAACTAAAATTAGCAAAATGTCAGGAATGGCAAGATTGATTCACCAAGATGCAATTATCATTTAAAAGTGCTTGATTGAGGTACTGATGTTCAGTGATTTATTCTGCATACCATATACATAATTAAAGTAGTGTAGTGGAGTAATTTATCAATCTAGTTGAGACTGGCGGGGTGAGGAGGGAGCTGCTGTATGTTTGTTTTATTAAAATGCTCCGAGGTCTAGTCCCGCCCCGCTTTTGCAAGAGTGAAACTGATGATTTCTCCAGCTAGCGAGGAGAGAGAGTCAACGGTTTGGGATTGTGGGGGAGAGAGCCGGGGAGGAGAAGGCAGCGCGGGGCGGAGGCGAGCGCGGAATAAAACCCCGCGGGGCGCAGAGGGGCCGGGCGCGGAGGGACGCGCGGCCGCCAGCCCAGCCCTGAGCGCTCGGTGCCCGCCACCCCCGCGTCCCCGCCCGGGTCCCGCCGTCTCCCGCGACGGCCCCCTCCCCGCCTTTTTACGCGGTGTTTCAAAGGCTGTGAGCTGCTCTCTTTTGCCCATTCGTCTTCTGTCACTTCCTTCCTGGACGCAGTTTTCTGGAGGACTCTGGTTACTTTTAATCCGATCGGCCGCGGGGAGCCACTTTCTCCTCCTCCTCCTCCTTTTTCCCTTCCTCTTCCTCCTCCTCCTCCTCTTCCTCCTCCTCCTCCTCCTCCTCCTCCTCCTCCGAGCGGCCCGGGTGCGCGCGTGAATGCGCGGCCCCGCGCGCGCCTCCCCCCCGCGCGCTCCCCTCGCGCGCACACGCGCATACATCGTCTCCAGCTCCCTGCTCGCGCTGCTCGCAGTCACAGACACTTGAGCACACGCGTACACCCAGACATCTTCGGGCTGCTATTGGATTGACTTTGAAGATTCTCTGTGGGTCGCCGTGACTGCATGTTTGAATCAGGTGAAGAGGCACTCCAAGGCTGGACGAAGTAAAGATTATTATTTCTCTTTCTCTCTCTCTCTCTCTTTAAGAAAGGAAAATATCCCAAGGACTAATCTGATCCGGTCTTCCTACATGTAAGTACCTCTGACATCTCTTGGAAAATAGAAATAGCCCGGGTATTGTCTCTGAAATTTGCATCAGTGCCTCCCCCGTACCAGCTCTCTCCCGGTGCCCTCTTGCGAGGCTGAAGTTAAGATTGGTCGTGCATTCTTTCCTTAGGTTCCATGGTTTCTTTGCGTGCTACTAGAAGTAACTTTGGAGATAGTCGTATCCGTCTGCCATCAGTCCCTGCGATCACTCGTGACTGGTTCCTGTCACACCAGTGTGTTGAAAGTTTCACGAAGTTAGTTCACGTCATTAGCATGTTTGAGATGGTGGAGAGTGTGCAGCTTGCATGCTCCCCGGGCATTTTAGTGTTCCACGGAATGTTC